CAATAACAAATTTATCAAGATATTCCTTACATACCTTATTCATCAAATCCATAAAGGCTGCAGGCGCATTAGTTAGACCGAATGGCATAACTAAGAATTTGTGATGCCCGTACCTTGTTCTGAACGCTGTTGTGGCAACATCTTCTTCCCTGACTTTAAGCTGCTGATGATGTCCTGACCTCAAATCGATTTTGGAGAAATAACTTGCTCCTACAAGTTGATCAAACAAGTCATCAATCCTTGGTAAAGAATACTTGTTTTTAATTGTTAACTTATTCAGTTCACGATAGTCTATACACATTCGCATAGAACCATCCTTCTTTTTGACAAATAAGACCGGAGCTCCCCAAGGTGAAGTGCTAGGCCTAATAAATCCCTTATCAGTTAAATCTTTCAACTGTGCAACCAGTTCTTTTAATTCATATCGAGCTAAACGATACGGCCCTTTGCTACTGGTACAGCTCCTGGTACTAAATCGATTCGGAACTCAATGACTCTATCTGGCGGTAATCCAGATAAGTCTTCTGGAAARACTTCTGGATATTCACTAACAATCKGAATTGATTCTTCTTTTCCCTTTTCTTTCTTCAGATCAATTACATATGCCAAACATCCTTGTCACATCTTCCGAATACTTTTCTGGGCTTTCATTACTGACAAAATATTTTTTTTTGAAGGAAACTTCGGCAAATTTATAAAACACAATAAAAAGGTTTACAACGCAACCAAAAAACAGACAGACCTCAACCTACAACCACGAGCCCCAAGACCGAGGGAAACACCCCAACCAAGCCACAACAAGCCAAAAGAAACAAAGCCCATAAGAAACAAACAAACAACAGAAGATAAAAAAAAAGAAGCTTAACCCAAACCAAAGCCCCCCAGAACCAAAACCAAGTCATCACGTCAACCATAAGTAACCACAGGACGACTTGCCAACCAATCTGCACGAATGAAGATAGACTCCCTAATAACGGCAATAAGATCCTGAGCCGTACGCTTAGTTGCAGAAAAAAGTCTTCGATTACGTTCCTGCCAAATATAGTAAACAGCAGCAGCCACAACAATCTTCTGCTTTAACAATTTCGGACGACTATTAGAATCCGAAATAACTTGAACAATCTGCTCCCACCTTGAAGGCATACCCGTTAGATCCACCATAAATAAAACACTATTCCATACAACTCCAGCAAACGGACATTGAAAGAATAAATGATCATGACTATCCAAACATTGACCACAAAGCGAACACTCCAAATCTGGGGGTTCATCCTTCCAATGTAAACGGACTTGAGTCGGAAGCCGTCTCTGACAAGCCAACCATAAACAGAATGCATGCTTCGGAATATGACCCGAAATACTGACAAAATATTGGTATGATGATTCTGACGATCACCATAAATAACAACTGTTCTCTGGTCTGGCAGAATAATTCTGATTATTTTCTGATTACAAACAATGCTAGCCCGATACTTTGCCAACCAGTCCATACCCACTACTACATCAAATTCTTTCATTGGCATGAGAAATAACCGGATTGGAAGTTCAAAATCCTCAATAACAATAATGCAGTTATTGAACACACTAGTAACAATTTCCTGACTATTAGCAGTATCAACTACTAACTCATCATCAAGTAGCACAGAATTCAAACATGTAGTTTGAGCAAACAATGGTGATACAAACGAAAAGTTTGCACCAGAGTCAAATAACACCTTAGCACGTATTGAATTTAGAAGAAATGTACCTGTTACTACATCCGGTGATGCTTCTGCCTCGTTCTTAGTCATCTGGAAAGATCTTCCCCGTGCCCCTCCTTGTCCTCCTCTATTCACAGTAGGTCTTCCCCGTGTACCCGATGCATTACTCCCCATTGTTAACTGTGGAGTTCTTAACAAGGGACAATTTGGTCGAATATGATCCGGAGAATTGCAATTAAAACACCTTTTGTTAGCTGGACAATTTCTAGACAGATTGACCAACTTCGCCACACTTATAACAT